CACTGGTGTGACAATCCTAGTCCAGTGGACTTATGTCCCCAGGCATTTCAGGGTACAGGCAAAATCCATACACAAACTGCAGGGTCTACAGTTTGTGAACCACCTGATTCTGTGTCTCTAGTCAGTTCAGGACACATACAGGATCCAGATTCAGGCTGGATGGGTAGCAGTCATGGACTGCTACCTTCGACCTGCTAAGGGGTCGGGGCGAAAGTAAAGCACAGACTCGAACCCCAGGACCAGCAGCTCCCGGAGCACTCGCTCCCTGGGCACAGGGCCCACGAGTGCTGGGAGAGGCTACACGCCCCGCCCCCAGGCACAGAAGTCCCTATTGCTTCTGAGTGAGGCCCTCCTCTCTGCCGTGGGTGCAAGGAGGGCAGAGACTCAGTCTTTAATAGTGGCCGGAGTCCTGGGTTGCCCGTTGTGCCCTCAGGAAGAGATGTGAAATACCCAGCTGCCTCCGCGAGTTTCAGCTGGGAACCATGGCGGTGTGAGCAAAGCACGGACTCGAACCACGGGGCCAGCGGCTCCCGGAGCACTTGCTTACTCGGCGCGGGGCGCGGGCTTGACTTGCAATTCTTATAGGCTATAGAAATCTAGTCCTACTTTATTGAATTTTCAAATATTTTAGTTTTAGCCGCTCATTGAGAGTTCTGTAATGTGTGCCTTATTGATCTTCTTGCTTTAGGATAACATTTTCTGAGGAGGCTGGGGATGTGATGAGTGATTATGGGGAACAAGATACTTTCAACAAAGCCAAGTGCTTGGCTTTAGCTCAAATTATCTACAGCAAGTGTAGTATGCATAAGAAAGCTCTTCTTTGCCTGTGTAAACAGGGTCAGATTCATGAGGCTATGGAATACATGCAGCAGTTCAAGGAATTTACTTCAGGTAAGTGAAATAGTCTACTTGTTTTTATAGAGCCAAATTCTGGACTTAAACTGTAAGATTACTCATAATAGCAGAAATCTATTTTAGACATACTGATACGCAGATTTCCTTTGTAATTTTTTATGAAAATAGGATGCAGGTAATTGACTTTCATGGCAAACATTCAGATTCATTATGCATTTTCTCATTATGCGTTTAGTAACTGGACAGTACTAGAAATATATAGCCTTAAAGATAAATTTAGTGGATATACCTGTCTGTGCTTTGGGAATGTCCAACCTGCAACCTGCCTTTTTCCTCCCTATTTTTAAAATTGTTGTAAGAAAATATTTTAAAATAAAAAAGATTTTGTTACTTATATACTTTATATTATATATTTTATTTGTAGCCCAAGAAAAGTCCACTTCACTCAAAAAGCGGGCATAAAAGCAAAAAAAGGTAGAACACAAGTTGGACACACTAAACTGGAATATGTTGTAAACATTAGAAATGATGAATTAGTGAAATAATGTTCATTTCAGGATTCTTAAGCACCTACATTGTAATTGTGTAATTGTCTGAATAAATTAGACATTAGGGTCACCCTAGTTGAATGAATAGATCTCTTCCTATGAATTAATTCAGAAGTAACCTCATTGTATAGGGAGTCCTAGCATCTCACCATTTCCCATGTTTATACCAATCTTGATTTCCAGGCTGTATGTATATCCTTGATCTAAGAAGTTACAAAATGAAACTGAACGTAGCAATTTTAAGTCACATTTTCCAAGAGAAAGGAGATTTATGCCTGGTGAATCTGATAATTCTTCAAATAATGTATTGTCCTTCACTTAAAATTGATACAGTTTTTAAAGTTACTAATTCCTTCATTAATAACAACATACCTGACCATAATATTGTAATAACAGCTAATAGCTATGCTATTCATAAGCATTGTGTCATTTAGTCCTTATGCTGACTCTTTGAAGTAGGTTGTGTTACAATCTTTACTTTGTAGATTAAAAAATATGAAATAATTTTATTAGTGTTTAGACATGAAACATAGGTTTTAATTATCCTTGGAGTTTTTATTGAGTGAAATGTGAAGTTTCTTGATTGCAAAATTTGCCTCATGTAAGTGCACGGAAGCTTGGGTTATAGCTCAGTGGCACAAGTGCATGCCTGGCAAGTGGAAGGACCTGAGTTCGATTCCCAGTACCCAAAAAAAAAAAAGTGCAAGGAAACATGATTGACTCACTATCATATTATTATGTTACTCTAACTCTGTTATACTCTGAAATAAATATATATTTTAGTAACTTGAGATGTAACTTTCCTGTCTTTTAGGCCTTGAAAATTATTCTCAGAATTGATTATAAGATGAAAATGATAATAACTTGAACAAAAATTAAAAGATAGAAACAATATTTTTAAAAAGCACTTTGCACTGGGTGTGGTGGTGCACTCAGGAGGCTGGGGCAGGAGGATTGCTGAGAGTTTGAGGCCAGCCTGGCATACAAAGTAAGGTCGAGGCCAGCCTGAACTGCATATTGAAACCCTGTCTCGAAAGAGAGAGAGAGAGGGGGAGAGAAAGAAAGCCTATGCTTATTTTACTTTTTAATGAGAAGCAACCACAGCTTCTCAGGGTATCAGTTTTGACCTTGGGATACAGATTCAGTTTGGTAATACAGTACTAAAAATATTTTCTCTCAGATTTAAACCATTGGTTTTACATTTACAATTTTTTAAAACTGTAAAAACCCCTAAAATCTTTAAAATATTTTGCTTCAAAAGAATAATCTCCTTTAGAAGTAAAGATTTTTATTTTTCTCCTTAATAAAATCTGGAAGAACATCTGAAATGATTTGTTCACTTGCCATCCCCTTATCACTAACCAGCTGTGTAGAACCAAGCATCTGTCTGGAAACTGATTTACTTTGTCTGGCCAGAGTCTCCAGATTTTCTGGTCTTAGCTTTCCCTTGCTATTAAAAAGCATTAATGGTCTCAAAAAGCATTAATTTATGTGAGGTATATCTATTATATTTATTCTGTTAGAAATTAAAACATGGCCAGGTGTGTTGCCTGTCTTTTTTTTTTTTGGTTTTTCTCTGGTACCGGGAACCGAACTCACGACCTTGCGCTTGCCAGGCAGGCGCTTTTGCCGCTGAGCTAAATCCCCAGCCCCGTGTTGCCTGTCTTTAATTCAAGTTTTTGGGAGCTTAAGACAGGAGGATGTTGAGTTCAAGGTCATCCTGACTACAGGGCAAGATCTTGTCTCAAGAAAACAAAACAAATAAAACAGAGAAAAGAAGAAATTAAAAAGGAAAATTAAAAAATACTTACCAACTCATTTAAAGTAACAATAATAAACCCATGGCATATTATCATGAATAAAATATTTTATGACAGAATAACTGTTTTCCAAAATCAAACAATTTAGTGAAAAAGGGTGGCTTTGTTTTACAGTTTTACAAATCTCTATAGTGTCTGGCTTAATAAGATTAATGGCACACACTGCTTTTGCATTCAGTCTGTTCAGATATTTTGTGTCCAGTAGCCTCTGGAAAATACACTATATACATGTGAGAATATTAAAAATTGAAATGGTCTCAAGTTGCATCCATTTACTGAGACATGTTTTAAGCTTATCCTTCTTTATGGTAGATTAGTACTCCATTGTATAAAAAAAACCTTTACACATTCATTGGTTGATGGGCATTTGAGCTGTCTGTAAGATTTAGCTATTACAAACTGCTGCTAAAAACATGGGTATACATATATTGCTGAGATATGCTGCTTCTAATTGTTTCTAGAAGATACCAACAAGGCAAAAAGCTGGGTCAAATGGAACCTCTAATTTTAGTGTTTTGAGGAATCTCCACACTGATTTCCACAGTGGCTGCACCAATCTATACACTCCCACCAACATTGGAGCAGAGTTTCCCACAGCCCTGCCAGCATTTGTTTTTGGTTGATTTCTTGATAATAGCCATTCTTTCTGGAGTGAGATGGTGTCTCAGTGTTGATCTGTAACTTTTGAATGACCAGTGATGTTGAACTTTTTTCA